TTTTGGTGATTTTAAGGTTTATTCATCAATCATGGTAACCTGTTGACTTTAGTATATGTAGTCGGGCTTTCTTTTTTGGGTCGCTCTGTAAATTGGGTTCGGATGATACGAGGATAAAGCCCGACGACTTTGTAAACTTGTTAATTTATCTTGAATTGCTTGTATTTCTTTTGATTGTATTTGTCAATTTTGTTATGTAATGATTTTACAGTATATTTGTTGTTCTGGCTGACGATTCATGTCCTCTACCTCTTGAGGTGTCTTCGGGGACATCTTCTTAGATAGAGGTATTCCGTGCCGAAAGGGCAAATCCCCATTCTTGGGATCCTACGTGTTGAAACGCTTTAGGACAGTTCTGTAAGAACAAAGAACAGGAAAATGATAATTGCAATCTAATTTGCCCCATCTGTAATTAGAGTAGCAGATTTGTGATTAGTCCCCAAATATTATTATTACATGGCATTTGTTGTTACAAATCAGCCTTCAGTTTTCTTTACCATCTGACAAACCTTTTCCCGATTTTCGTAGACTAACAGGAAAAATTCGGCATTAACGCACACCCAAAACGATCTTTTTGCGGTGATTGAAAATGTTGGTGATTGAGAGTAAGGAAGGTGCAATAGCATGCATGATTTTTTCTTTACTTTTCTTGGGCACATGGCCGGCCCTTCTTACTCTTTTAGAAAGGCGGGGACGCATGCCTCAACACACGTACCTCGACTACACCATCACAAACCTATTGGCTGCTGTAATCATTGCCTTCACGTTCGGCGAGATTGGCAAAAACTCGAACGACAAGCCAAATTTCATCAATCAGCTGTCTCAGGTGAGAAAACCGATTCTATTTACCGATTTTTGGCTTCTGAATTTGATTCTTCCTGGTGGAAAGTCAAAAGTAGTGTAGAAAGCCAAAAGCTTGAATAAGTTGGTAGAAAAATCAGTCACTAAATAGATTGGGGGAAGTGTAATGTTTGTGAAAGACAGAACAAGAAATTGACTTATCATCAAGCTAAATTTGTGCAGGATAACTGGCCGAGTGTGCTTTTCGCGATGGTTGGGGGTATTGTTCTGAGCCTTGGGAATTTAGCAACTCAGTATGCTTGGGCTTTTGTTGGCTTGTCAGTGACAGAGGTCATCACGTGTAGCATAACTGTCGTGATAGGTAAAGTTTAATTAACTCTATACTATAAAATTTCTTGATTTCACTTTGTCTTTGTTTAATTGTTTTCCTTCTTTGAGTTGTGTAACTGAGTTGCCTTGTTTTTTGCTAATCCAGGGACAACAATGAATTATTTCTTGGACGACAAAATCAACAAGGCCGAGATTCTTTTTCCCGGTGTCGCATGCTTTTTGATTGCCGTTTGTTTAGGCTCTGCTGTTCATTCATCGAATGCTGCAGATAATAAAGCTAAGCTCACTGGAAAAGACGAGACGATGTACATGATTTTCCCATTAAAATCACTTATATCCAAGATTATTGTTTTGGTTCTAAAGTGTAGACATAAATTTCAATTAATTGCATTGATGATACAGGGAAAAGGATTCTCGTACCTCCCAGGGACATTATGCAAGCAAAGGTAAGAAAAATATTATGTGTACATGTTTTTGTGTGTTTTTGTATTTTGCTATTACGAAAAACGAGCTGCTTTTTGTTTGTGCAGCCTATTTACATTAATGGTTGTGTTATGCTAACAGATGTGGAGAAAGGGGTTGGCGTAAAGGACAAGGCGAAATTCGGAACAGCAGATTTTCTCCTCGAGCTTGAGAATAAAAGGGCTATTAAGGTAGTTCTCTCTTATGATAAAGAGGAGTTTTTACCAATGCTTTATATGACAGCATCTTGATTCCCACGCTCTTATTACCTCCTTTTGCCAAATATTTTGGGGATAATTATTAAAAAAAAACATACAGTTCTCTCTGGACTTTGTAGTTAAAAAAAAATCTTAGTTATTATTATTATTATTATTATTATTATTGCTAACTCTTTTTCCTTATTTTAAAAATTATCTTTACAGGTTTTTGGGAAGAGCACTTTTATTGGGTTGGGGATCACTTTCTTTGCCGGGATTTGCTTTTCTCTATTCTCTCCGGCCTTCAATTTGGCCACCAATGACCAGTGGAATACCCTGAGGGACGGTGTCCCACATTTGAGCGTGTATACTGCATTTTTCTATTTCTCGGTTTCATGCTTTGTGATTGCCATCATTCTCAACATCACCTTCTTGTACCGCCCCATTTTGGACCTGCCCAAGTCCTCCATCACCGCTTATATATCAGACTGGAACGGTCGGGGCTGGGCCCTTTTAGCTGGGCTTCTCTGTGGTTTTGGTAATGGGCTTCAGTTCATGGGAGGCCAGGCTGCTGGATATGCTGCGGCCGATGCTGTTCAGGTTAGTTTAACGTGTGTAAAATTTTTCTTCTAGTATAGGCTAACACTTGATATTGAACCAAAAGAAGGTTTTTTTGACTGTGATTCCCCATAAGCTGTCTGTATTTTGGCGATGAAGTCATTTCGACTAAAATCATGTTCGATTGGTTGATTTTTCCACAGGCACTGCCACTCGTGAGCACATTCTGGGGCATACTATTGTTTGGTGAGTACAGAAGGTCGTCTAGAAGAACGTATATACTTCTCGTGAGCATGTTGTTGATGTTTATAGCTGCCGTTGGCATCCTCATGGCCTCGTCAGGACACCGTAAATAATTTTTCATTAACTCAAAAGAGACTAGCTGCATTTGAGCCGATTTGCTCACTTAGGCTCTGCCATTTTTGGTTACTGCAGCAAAAAAAAAAA